ACATAAAATCGTTTCAAGGTCAGTAAACACAACCAGAATTCATACATAAGACACACGGGATTATACGTGGCACTGTCGAAGGGTTGGTTTTAAGTGTGCCTTATTTTCCAAAAAACACGGTAATAACGATGGCCCGCTAGCATGCTCTACCAAATATAGTGCTTTGTTGTGAATCTAACGGACGAACGCTAAACCAGTTCCACACCACTGAAGTTGTAGAATTTTTACAAACTAGTTCTGGTTCATCCGTTTCATTCAACGATCCGCTTTCGCCCTTCTCATTCTCCGTCGCCGCCATGCTTTTTCGGCCATGTACATATTAAAACAAAGGCACTGTGCATGCGCGTTTTACCCATATTTTATTGCAATATTTCATTTTCTTATCGTTGCCCAACATCATACCGGTATTACCATGAACGGTATGATATGGCCCAGCCCTAGTCAATATTTTGCAAAATTTCTTACAAATGAATACAAAGTTATCAGTACAAGTAATGCACAGTATGTAAGATATTCATCATTTGGACATGTGCCCACTTTTATAATTACATAAAATAAAACGCTGTATGAAGATATGGCTAAAATGAGACTGAAAGTTAAAAACACTTTGACTGGCTAGTAAGACTGGAGAAAGAAGATTATACAGTAACAAAATTTGTCATAGACATACACGTAGATACCTCTTAGCTAACCTCAAAGAAATTGGGAGGAGTTTTGAAATACAATAAATCTCTGAATTTGCCAACAAGGGAAACAGCTAATAGAAAAGCCTTTTAACAAACCAGTTACCTAAGAACTAGTCCTAACCAAGTAACCTACAGGTCCAAAAAATAAAATCAGCACTGTAGGACTAAAGACTTCAGTTGATCTAATCCACTTAAGGGCACTTATAAATGTTGGTGTAAAACTTAATAAGATCTTTCTTAAGAAATATTGTATATAATTAAAAATGTTTAAAACTATAAAAAATATACTTTACATATACACACAGTACATAAAAACACTACCTCTGCTCCATCTGATTGGCTTTTGTTGGTGATGTAATATTTTGAGGTCACTGTAAGCGATGTCATCTTCACTAACTTTTTCAACGTCATCTGAAATAAACCAAAATGAACATCAATATAGTTTTTTCTATAGTAAACTTAATGAACACTTAAGGAAACTGTTGAACGTGTTTGTAAATTGCATGCCAAAAATAATTTAAATTTTTTTTAAAGGAATCATTCTTAGTCTCACCTTTAGGCTTCCTGTGAACACATCGTCTCACCAATAGAATTACTAACACCAGCAGAACCACAACACAGACTGATCCAACACATGACAACACAGGACGGAGAAAGGAACCAGGAGGAGAGGTCGATGTAGGTGGAGGTGTGGATGTAGGTGGAGGTGTGGTGGTGTGTTTGTCTAAAATAAAGCAAACACAGTCATTAAGTTGTCGTCACATTGTGAATGTTGAAACCTGCAGAAACACAGACAGGTGAGTGTGTCACCTGTGACAGTGATCCAGCTTGAATTAGACTCTCCATGACCGCTGATGTCACACTTGTAGAGGCCTTCATCAGACCTGGAAACATGCTGGATGGTCATGTGACCTGTAGTCATGTTCCTGATGAGGGAGCCATCTTTATAGAAAGCAGCTGGGAGGTTGGAGGGAGTGGTCTTTGTTTTACAGAGCAGAGTGACGTCATCTCCCTCCATCACAGGGAGGACAGGACTCTGCAGGATCACTGATCCACCTCAACACAGAGACAAACTACAGCATTTCATCCATTTACACACAGCTTCATCAACACTAACTCCACACACTCAGCTTACCAGTGACTGTCAGGTTAACCATGTTACTGATGGTACTCTGATTAGACTCACACCAGTAAACTCCACTCTCCCATGGGAAGATGTAGCTGATGTTGCATGAAGAACCAGCTCCTTCTCCCCACCCATCTCCACACTGAGTCCTCTGTTGTTCTCTTGTGTTTCTCCTCAGAGTCCATCCAGCAGAGCTGTCGTCCTCCTCACAGCTCAGAGACACAAAGGCTCCTTTAAAGAACTGAGAGCTGCTGGAACTCACAGTCAGACGAGCTGTGAGGGTTAAAATGAAAAACTGATGATTATTTTACTATTATCAAAAACAGTTAAACACTTGAACCGAATAAATTATTAAGATGTTGAATTTCTTTCATTCAGGTTGTCTTTGCTGTTTTGGCTGCTTGGACACACATATTTCTCAACTTTGGGGTAAATAAAGTAAAACTTATAAAATTATAAAAGTTGTCTGTGTGAATGAGATTTTCAGAAGCATAGGAATTAAGTTTACTGACCTTGGTTTGTTGTGCAGCAAAGAAATGAGGACAAAACTGAAGAGAAATTATATTTGGGTTAGTTTAAAGTTATTATTTGAGAAAACTTTGCCACCAAAAAATTTACAAACCCAGGTGCACATACAGAAAGACTTGTGTATATGTTGGACACAAATGGAGTTTCTGAAGAATGCTCCTAAACTATAAACCAAACTGCAATAAAAAAAAAAACAACGGATGTCTTTCATCTGTTAGGATGTAGCTTTGCATTGGAAATCACAGCCTTCTTTTCACTGTAAAAAATATTATTAGCATCAGTAGCTCTTGCTATATTTGTAAGTGTTGTATTAGGAGAGAATGGAAAAATATGATAAATAAAGATTATTGCAAAACTCTACATACTACATTGTTTCTGATTAATTCTGATTTACAAAGGCACTAGTCTTGATGGGGGCTCAAAACATCAGGTATAAACCATATGGGTTTTCCATAATTTATGGAAAATGCAAAAGTAGACATTAATTTTCATCAGTGAAGTATATTAGCTATGAGAGCTGCTCTGTCATTTTTTGTTGCCTTTGGGGCTAGTAAATGTAATAATATGATAATACGAACAAAACAAACACTGAATTACACAAATGTGAATGCATGTCTACATTGAGGTTATATTGATAAAGTAATTGACTGAACCTCTCTTTCTTGTTTCCTGGTTAACCAATGAAATTTTTTCCTGTAGACATGCATGTCATTCTCATGGTGTTTTGAACTTGAATTCAGCCTGATTTGTTTTTCATGTCTTCTCCTCCATCATCAGTTATCAGGAGAGCAGACAGTCAAAGTACAAGAATTCAAACAAACACAGAGATTCTACTTACAGAGCAGACACAGCACAGATGTTTCCTTCATCGTCCTTCTCACTCATTTGAGCTTTTTTTCATTT